CAGTACTTGTCTTTAATCATGCCATAAAGGGAAATCCAACCTTGAAAGTAAGACTGCCAATTTGAGATTCACATAGACTTGGCGATCTCATATTTCAAATATTCATAACTTTCTTATTGTTGGTCTGATTTATTTTAAACTTTCGCCATTCCGTTATCTTGTTTTTTTTGCTTTCATACAAATGAACTTATTACAATGTTGGATTGCCTTTAAGCAAATCCCTTATCACACTATTGCTGCTTTAATACTTTTTCTCAAATATGCCTGAACTACATGTATGCTTCAAACTGGTAAAAGTGTAATATCAAGCTAACTGTATTACCAAATATGTGAGCTCTGAATAAGATAACAAACATCATTAGAATAATGAGAACACACCAATAATTAATTTGTTTGATATAAAAAGTTACAAGTTCACAATACTGCTATTAATTTCTTTTCAAAAATACAGATGAACACATCAATCATTTTTGAACTACAGGAGAAACAAACTTTTGCACTCCTCTCTATTCACGTTTAATTGTATTTCTTGTTGTTCTTCTTTCTTTGTTATATTTGGATATCAGTTGAGTTAAGTTGTGATTTATCGGTTGACTACAGTAGGTTTAAATTCCTGAAAATACCTGAATTTTCCAAGTGTCTTTGTGTTATGCATTGATGGTATCGTATGACCACTGTCGGTTATTGCACTCAGATAAACACATTCTCCATCAGTCCATACAAACCCAAGGTCAGGATGCACAGCTGAAAGAAAACAAGTTTGGAACTTTGCAATAAACATTCAAATGTCATCTTTGCAAAATTCACACATCTCTCCACATTATTCATTAACTCTTTCCCTTACTGACAATGAAAACAAAAAAATATGTCACATAATTTAAACTAGAGTAAAGGAGCCGGTTTTCGGCCACTTAAAACAAAATCCTATTTTTTGGACCCTTTACTTCCTATTTATTATCATTTTTTGTTCAAATCATGAAGCAAATATTATTATTATTTAAACAAAACAAGAATCCCAGAAAAAAATCACGAATTGCCATGACAATATTCATTTCAATTTTCACTGTTTCGGAGTCAGTTTTCGGCATAGCGTACCAGTTTTCGGCCGCATGTACAAAGTCAATAGGAAGCGCGCGCACGCGCCGTGCGTTTTCGCGCTAATCTATAGCACTAGCGGGCGGAGCAGATATCCCACGCCGGAGCTCCCGAGCTCGCCAGGCCGAAAACTAGTACTGCAGTGATCGGATATTGGAATCTGAATTAGACAGAGATATCGTGTGTGCGTTGCAATGTGCAGCTGCATTGATTTAATACTTCTTCTTCTTCTTCTTCTTCTTCTTCCTCCGCTCTATCGGAGATCAGCAGCTACCAGGGTACTGCAGTTTGTCATAGCAGGCAGGATTGTCAAGTCAAGTAGAAAATGTATTAGCGATTGCATTAGCACGAGCAGAGTGGATATTGTATAAAAATGACAGTGATGCATGCGATGAGATACTTTTGAGCTTGCGACTAGCACAAAATCGGGTTCTAAATCTGAAAAATACTTGAAATAAAGCTCATTTTATGGTACCCATATTTCTTACAGCCACACGTAAGATACTCGATCTTTCAGATTCGGGTAGCGGGACCGCCGATTACATCGCTAAAATGTGATATTTTAGGATATATTTTTTATTGCAAATGTGGTTCTTCAGTGACACTGGCATGGTATGGTATGTGTGGGATATGTGTTATGCTATTAGAGTAAAGTACCCGGTTTTCGGCCACTTAAGACAAAATCCTATTTATTGGACTCTTTACTTCCTATTTATTATCATTTCTTGTTCAAATCATGAAGCAAATATTATTATTATTTAAACAAAAAAAGAATCCCAAAAAAAATCACGAATTGCCATGACAATATTCATTTCAATTTTCACTGTTTTGGAGCCGGTTATCGGCCGAGCGTTTCAGTTTACGGCCGCATGTACAAAGTCAATAGGAAGCGCTCGCGCGCGCCGTGCGTTTCTGCGCTGATGTATAGCACAAGCGGGCGGAGCAGGTATCCCAAGCCGGAGCTCCCGGGTGCTCGCCTGGCCGAATACAGGCACAGCGGTGATCGGAAGTTGGAATCTGAATTAGACAGACATATCGTGTGTGCGTCGCGGTGTGCGGCTGCATTGATTTAATACATGCGATGAGATACTTTTGAGCTTGCGACCAGCACAAAATCGGGCTCTATATCTGAAAAATACTTGAAATAAAGCTCATTTTATGGTACCCATATTTCTTACATACACGCGTAAGAAACTCGATTTTTCAGATTTGGGTAGCGGGACCGCCGATTACATCGCTAAAATGTGATATTTTAGGATATATTTTTCATTGCAAATGTGGTTCTTCAGTGACACTGGCATGGTATGGTATGTGTGGGATATGTGTTATGCTATTATGCGATGTATTTTAAAGTGATTTTACCATGTATCCAACCAATTGGCCGAAAACCGGAGCTGACCGATTACCGGGTACTTTACTCTATACAATGTATTTTAGAGGGATTTTACCTTGCATCCAACCAATCGGCCGAAAACTGGAGCTGGCCGATTACCGGCTCCTTTACTCTATAGGCTATTGCAACATTTATACAGGGGACTTAAACTTAAACCAAAGCAAAAGCAAAACAAAAAAAATGTCAATAACATTTTTATGACAACCATTTATTTGCAACAAATTAGATCTAAATGACAAATTTTATAACATGTGGGATTACACCTTTGTATATGGTCAGGTTTATACATGTATTTCTCACCATAATGCAATATATTTCTTCCAGCAACTCCATAAGCAATCTTGAATTCTACATCCATTGTCCAATTATACTTTTGCTGATAAATAAAAAGGTAAAATATGCGTATTTATCACCACAAAAGTGACGTTTGCTGACTCAAGCTGACCACTTTGAATTAATTTTAGCAGATCAATTCTGAAAAAAAATTGTACGGTATCTCTCAATCCTACTTTTCCCCGGGCCCATCAAAGATGACCAGACAGGCTAGCGACCCAATACCAGTATACCACGGTTGACTTTTGCGATTGATTGCATTGATCACCATGTGCATTCAATTGCAAAAAATCATTGTACAAACAATTGCTAAGCTTTGTGTTCCAGGTCCTAGTATTTTAAACTATAAAAAAGAAAATATTCAAAATGAATGGAAATTCATACTTTATACCTCGATTTATTCTACTGATGAAATATTGTCATATTGTTATACAAAAGCTTTTCACCTAATACTGATCGATCAAAGTACATTTGCTTTAATAGATGACCAATTTCTAATCATTATTAATACTCGCTGGTACTTTTATGGTAATATAAATTCAATTAGTAAATATATAATAGAAAACAAGCGCATGTAATTTATATATATGCTACTATACTTTTATTCATGTATGATGACATCAGCTTTAAAAAATCAATGCATTCTTTTATATAATTTCTGATTTACCACTCAGATCGGCTTTCACTGTAATCAAACGCTGTCTGGAACATTGTAACTGCCCTAGTAAGTTTGTCTATTAAACATTCAACACCCATGTGTTTTATTTTGAAATGCACCACTATTGCTGGAACTTTCGGACGAATGAATTTTCATTAGAACAAGAAATGTCCCCATAATGGAAGAGAGAGAGAGAGATACTCGTGTTCAACTACGGGAGCCAGGATGGAGAGCAATGAACTCAGACTCTACACAAACAATTCTTGCAGGTCTCGTTATGAAGAATTAAAAAAATGAACAGTGAAAAATGTTCATATATTATAAAATTATATTAGTTAAAACAAAACAAATCTAAACTCCTGTGCCTTTTACCAATAAAGAGATCCTTTGATGGAAATTTCACATCGATAGTACATCATCTTTATGTTTGGGGCGGGGGATGAGGGTCAGAGGTGATGATGGATTAAAAATGAATAGATTTTTTTTAAATATGAAAAATAGTTTTCAGATTATCAAATCTCTGGCAGATTAAAACAATTCATACTCTCATATAGTGACTTTTCTTTTTATAGATCTTTTAGTATTTTGGGTGTGCCGCCTATTCCTGTTTCATCCCATACCAGCATAACAAATGTTCAACTTCTTTCAAAAGGTTTTTTAACTAAACTCTCCTCGTCTTTCTTTCTCAAATGCACAATATAAACTTGTTCCTTAGAAGAGTTCCTATATACCCCTATTGCTGGAACTTTCGGACGAATGAATTTTCATTAGAACAAGAAACGGAAGAGAGAGAGAGAGAGAGAGAGAGAGAGAGAGAGAGAGATACTCGTGTTCAACTACGGGAGCCAGGATGGAGAGCAATGAACTCAGACTCTGCACAAAAAATTCTTGCAGGTCTCGTTATGAAGAATTAAAAAAATGAACAGTGAAAAATGTTCATATATTATAAAACTATATTAGTTAAAACAAAACAAATCTAAACTCCTGTGCCTTTTACCAATAAAGAGATCCTTTGATGGAAATTTCACATCGATAGTACATCATCTTTATGTTTGGGGCGGGGGATGAGGGTCAGAGGGTACATGGACTAAAAATGAATAGATTTTTTTTAAATATGAAAAATAGTTTTCAGATTATCAAATCTCTGGCAGATTAAAACAATTCATACTCTCATATAGTGACTTTTCTTTTTATAGATCTTTTAGTATTTTAGGTGTGCCGCCTATTCCTGTTTCATCCCATACCAGCATAACAAATGTTCAACTTCTTTCAAAAGGTTTTTTTTAACTAAACTCTCCTCGTCTTTCTTTCTCAAATGCACAATATAAATTTGTTCCTTAGAAGTGTTCCTTTTATATACTCTGCATTTTATAAAATTTTCAAATTTCATTACATTCATGTTCGAAAAAAAGACAAATAAATTTAAAACTTGAAACTTGAAAATTGTAGATTATAATAATATTATGGGCACTCCGCCCTCTCATATCATACAAGTACTTTTTCTCTTGTATCGGACGTTTTGAAGACTCCATAAATTGAGTAGCAGTGATGTTGTTGAACGTCTAGGTTCCACGTAGTTGAGGTGAAATTTCCATACGCCTAATACAAACATCAACTCGGCCGCACCGCCCCCGTGCGCTATCTTCGGTAACACCGTAAAGCCAGTAGCTCGCTGCGTAATACTCGGAGCTCGAATAAGCTCATTCTGCAACTCGACTGTGAACTCAGCTGACATCCATGGCATGTTGATGTCGTAGCAAAGGCCGCAAAGCTCACGATTCGACGTCGACTGACCGCGACAGTCGTCGTCTGCATTGAATAGTTTATCCTGGATGCTGGGAAGCGCTCCTGAGTCTGAGACTGAGAGCGACCACTGACTCGGTCAGTGTGCAGGACAGGTGTGACTTTGAATTTGTCACAATTAGCACAGCAGTTAGCAGGTTAGCAGTGTCAAAACACAAGTCCATTTTCGGAGAATCATATCTCATCTGAGAAAAAAAGTCTGATAATATTCATAGCGGATTATTCAAATCATCATGGCTGCTGCAGCTGGAGCGGCTGCTGGAAACGAACCTCTGCAGAGAAAGGACTCGAAGAGTATTTTACCTGATGGGTAAGAACCAATAATTAATCAGATTAAGTCAAGAAAGCGTACCTTTTTAAAATATGAAGATAGTCTAGATCCTTGTGCAAAATGTGTAATGTCGTGCAATCGTTAGCCTTAGTTATTGTAAGAGTGAGACTGAGTGATCATTTAGACTTTTAGTAGACAAGTGAAATTGCAGAATTTTCGAACAACGGGAGGGGATTAAATGAGGTTCAGGGATTTTTTTGGGCGTATTTGCTTGGACAAATAAATAGACCAGTTTTTATCACAATGACATATTCAATCGACACTGTTATTGTTAAGTCAAGTGTTAGTGTTACTGTTATTGTTAGTGTTATATAAAGTTCTAATTGTAGGCTGTGTGAAGCATGTAATTTATTTGCAGTGTAAACGGCCTATATTTCACATTATTTCATCCCCAAAAATGCATGATAGCAGAATGTCTGTCTGTGGGGATGTTGATTGTTGGCTCTTGTACTTTTTTTCCTGTTTCATTTTGTATATACGTACATGTATACAACTATACATGTACTGTACATGCCGTGTGTCCGTACAGGTTGGTTATCCAGACAGTTGATTTCAAACATTTATTTGAAGGAGTTTACACTTTACAAGCAATGCTTCATAAATCTTTTAAGCCTTAAGTTGGACAATATTAATTATAATTATAAAGGACAAGTGATGGTCACTGCCATTAAATGCTTACATTTTTTGTAAAGCACAACATGACAGCTTTTATGTAACAGAGGCTTGAGGATTTCACTGACGATTGAGAATGCAACCTAATTTAAAAAAAAAAGATCTTTTAAAGTTTTATTTCCTCTAGTTTTTTAATATTGTTAATTTTTTTCTCATAAAGCTACCAAAAGTTTGGTAAAAATTTAAGAGATCAAGAGATGTTTAGCTATTTGTGTAACTGGACCAGCATCTCTCATTTATTTATTTATTTATCAATTAATCTATTTATTTATTTTCAGTATCCTGAAGCTGCCCTTTTTTTTGGGGGGGGGGGGTTCGAGTGATTTGGGGTTTCTGTAAACTAACTTTGGAGCCATAGCTTATGTTATGTTTTAAAAAATATTTACATGTACATGCACGTCTATTTTTATGGTAAACTGTTTCGTGTGCATAGTGCCAAAAGAGTCCACAACAACTCATACTAATGCTATGGTCACATAACCCAAAAGTAGTCTGCTCGGCGGCCGAGCGGCGAGTTTTTAACCAATTCTGCCCGGCGGCTGCCCGGCCACCGAGCGGCGGCCGCCCAGGCACCGCTCGTTTTTAGGGCATCGCTCGGTCGCCGCTGAAGTTTTAGCGCGGAGTTAAAATTTGGGCGGCGCCTGCTCACTTTTCACTCGCCGCCCAAAATACGCTCGGTGCCTGGGCGGTCGCCGCCCGGGCACCGACCTAATCGCTGGGCGATGCCTAATTCCAGCAGCGACCGAGCAGGCTACTGATCGGTCGGTCGCTGCTCTGATTTGTGACCATAGCTTAACTTACAGAAAATTCTATGGTACAGGGAAAAAAATTAATTTAAACAATTTTGGGGGCTACTTTTCAACCTTGCTTGCATGAAAATAACACTCTTTAAATTGTTTTGCATTGAACTCTAATACTCTATGCAAATTTTGGGGGGCTCTTTTATGACTTTCTGGGGCTCTTTTTGGCATGTCTGCAAGCATAAACTTTGTTCTTAATTTCTTAAAGATTGTCCACCCACCCATCAATCTACATGTACATGTACATAGAACAAATAAATGACCAGTGAGAGTAGTGTTTTATACTCCATATACACCTTTCCTCCTGTTAGTATACAGCACATAGAAGCGCATCCTTGGTCTCCAATACTAATTGCTGTCTTCATAAGATAGCTGACATACCACCAGATACTTGCGTCACAGCGCTAATACACCCTCTGCCAACACTTTCAACCTTTCCCCCACCCTCGCTCTCCCTTGTCCACCGGACCAGTCGTCCTAATCTATAATCCTGGCTTGATTCCTAATTAAGCCAGCAGCCTCATAGCCAACTGTCTGCCCCAATCAATTAAGGTTCCACCATTGGAATACAGCTCTAGAGAGACAACTCATTACTGTCATTGTGCAGAAGTTTCTGACAACTAGAGTATAAATGAGCTGATTGCCATTTTTGGGAATATCTGTTCAGAAATGATATTCATCATCACATCATCAGTTCAGGGCCAGCAGAGCATTTACTCTGTGTTAAAGTATATGAGTTAACACCCCCCTCTTGCTCCAAACAGACGATGCATGCATGTACATGTACTGTATTGCTGTACCATGCAAAATGCTACAAGTTCACTTGCCCTCTAAGAAATAAAATAAGAGAGTGGAGAGGTTATGTTTGTTGACAGACCAGCATGCTAAAATATCATTGGCTACTAGCCAGAGAATATCTTGCTTCATACATAAAGTATGTACACTTCGTTGGGGAATCTTAGAGATTGATGGGCAAGAATACAACAGATCTCTCAGAATAATTAAAGTTATTTCTTGGGTTAAAAGTACTTTCTAAACAGAGCTAATGCCCCTCTAGCTCTCAGCAAACTGGATCACTTCAGTGTGCTCATTTTCCATCAAAATTTGTAGAAAGTGAACTTTGTGTAAAATTGGAATATTTAAACATGGAAGGGGCATGGGTGAACTAACTAATTATCATAATCATATGCAATCAATCCAAATCATTCGCAAGTCCTTCAATCAATCGCAAGTTTGCAGTCTCCTACATGTATCTCTTACATTTATGCTCTCTCTTAACAGTCGCAATTAATTTGAGACGTATATGAACTCTTTATAATCGTTATTTTGATTTATTGTTTATCTATCATCTATATTTCTTTGTTTGTTTGTTTATTTTATTATCTATTTTTTAAAATTTATTTATTTATTCTCTCATTTTTTCATTCATTTGTTTATTTTTTTAAATTTATTTAATGTTATTAATATTTATCTTTTTGGGTATCAAGCTGCATGACTCTAAATGGTCTTACCGTGCCTCCAACTTGGGAGAGCTGAAAGATACCATTACATCTGAACTTAATGAAATACACTGAAATTTGTAGAGCCATGTGAGCTTAGCAATGGCAGATGGGACAGGATTTATCTCAGTCGTTAATGCAGTAAATTAGTTCACTCCAGGGACGTCCATTTGAAGTAATGCTTGTTTAGCAAGATGTCATTAACGGCTTACCTGGAAATTGAAAGGCACTTAGATGAAGTAGAGGTTGTTTGTTCAGGATTTAATGCGCCGCTGATTTATTTTGTACTTGTCACCTACAGTGGAGCCAGATTTTTTGTAGGGTTGGGGGGGGGGGGTCAATGTAAGTCAGTGTAAGCAAAGTTGCTGACAAATTGAAAAGTAATGTTGATATTATGTACAGGTATTTTACATACTGTACATATTCCTTTAGATTTTTTTAAAGAATATAATGATACTAATTAATGATAATCGTGTTGATGGTAATGACAAAAAAACTTGATTTGTTATTACTCATACATTTATTTTGCACCATAGTGACTGTACATTTTTAATCTTTTTATAGCCTTTTAACATAACTTCTAACTCAAATTGGTTACAAACAGTTGGACTTCTTTCACAATCAAGAGAATCTTTAAATTTTATCTGCGGCTGATGTGCTGTTATTTGCAATACCTACAGGCAAAATGAGAAGTTTACACAATTCATTAGATTGTAATTTGTTTTTAACCTTTCAAATACAACTACAAAAACATTCAGCTATTCCATCTCTGCGAGCCCCTACAGATATATATTCAGCTAAAGATTCGTAATGATGCATACATGTATATTGCATGGATGTGTGTTTGAGGGTAGAATTTTGATGAGGAGATGGGGAGAGAATTAGAATTTGAGAAGGAGAAGGGGTGAGAGATAAGAAACACAGGAATGAAAGAGAGAGAAAAGGAGACAGAACAAATGCCGAAGGGGAACATACATACTGTACATGTATGTCGTGGGAATTACAGTAGAGTAGGCATTTTCGTGGCTGTTGGAAATCTAGTCTCGTAGGAGAAAAAGATCTGAAGTTGATTTGTTGTGAGTCGTAACAGTGACAGGAAATAACACATAAATTTTAGTCAGTCTTGACGGCTGCATAAATTGTCTTCAGCCAATTTAAGAGCTGTCATAAAACGCCCTCTAAAGTAAATGAATGCAATCCTTGATTTTGCGTCGATCATTGGGAGTTTTACCCAGAATTTACTCAATAATTGAATTCAATTCGATTCAGTTTGTTTAACATCTCTTTAAGACATTGAAATAACAATGCAAAGTAGAGCAATTTAAAAGTAAATGTACACCATGACATATGATAATAACAAGAATCTAAAAATATAACAATGAATATATTGTCTTTTTCTCCTGATAGCCAGTGCCCTTTAAATTTAATTAGTGTACATTGTACATGTTGCATTGTGCAGTGCATACATGTAGCTTTATGTGCATAGCTTTATGTAGAGGTGTTGTGGTGTAGTGGATAAGTCTCCGGACTGTTTGAACCCATACATGTAGGTACGGGGTTCGAAACCTGCCAAGGCACTACGTAATATCTTTGGCAAGACATTAATCTACATACAGTGAATGCATCACTCAATCGAGGTGTAGTATAAGTGGGTACCTGGTAGAATTCATTCCTTGAGTGCATTGAGCATTACAGTCACCAGAGCTAAAGCTGGGGTAATAATATTCAGTCCTTGGAAGTGCATAGAGACGTTATGTCATAATGTGATATGCGCTTTACAATAGTGGTATATTATTATCATTATTATGGAGATACATGTAAATCTCATTTAAATTGAAATTCAGCAAGAACTGTCAGAATTGATGAATGTTGGATTATTCAAGGGATCGAGCCAATGAATAATCAACAAGTGATCAATAGATCTCATTCTCATCTGTGCAGTACCTGTACTTAAACTGGCTGAATGATCAGATACAGGTCAAATTGTCTGTAGACTCACTAGTCACTA